CCCCCCCCCCCCCCTCGGCATAATAAATGTACTTTCCCTTAGAAAGAATTTCGTAATTGCATGCGCTAGAAGGTAAATTAAATTACTTTTTTACCTTCTAGCGCAATAATACGAAATTCTAAATTTTCCCCTTTGCGCGCCTATAATGTGACGCACTACTTCATGTAAACCTTTTATATAGTAACTCGTTTGTGAATCGTTTTATAGCGCCTGGGGATGAGGCAGAACCCTGACCATGTTATAACTGACTAGTTAATAAACGGCTTGCGAGATTGAGCCTTTTAATTTAAACAGTCCCAATATGGCCATTAAGGTTACATTGTACGATAGACGTGGGTTCTGGTAGACTGGACCTGACTTCTATACTACAATTGTTATAGGCAGGGAGGACGAAGCGAACGCCGAAGGCGTGAGACCTGCTAGTGGGGTCCAGGGCCATGCTCTGCTCAAAATTTAATGCGATTTCAAGCATTTTTGGAATTACAAAGTGCATCAAAAACATGATTTTTTATGATCTTACAAACGTATACCTTTCCCCAGACCTCTGCCCAGACATTAAATGAGAATTGGAAAAGTCCCCCCCCCCCCCCTGTGATACCGGGGAGAGAAAATCCCAATGTGCTTTTGATTGGAAATCTTGCATTTAGATAAATCTAGTAGGTTCTATGAGACACCATTTTCCGCATTCAGAAAATTGCATTACTTTTCAATCCATTCGGCACAGAATAAGATTGAGAAGAAATATTCGTGCTATAATAACGACATGCATGCATTTAACAGTTTAACTCTATTCTTCTTTGAACCATATCTACAAACGCTTTATTAACAACATTTCCACATCAAGCTCCTCAAATAAGCCCACAACGGGCATCAACATGAGACTTTCCAGCCTTTCTTGTCCTCAGTCGAGACTTAGTCAGTTTTAGTTTCGTCAATGTAACGTGCACCCCCTCACCAGTTTCTCTACGGATTTAGAGTTTTTGTGGCGATTGAGGGGCCACGCTACAGGGGGGGGGCGCTACTGGTTGTAGATTCAAAATATTAATGTAAAATTCTCATTTCGCTTCCCCGACCATAACAAAAGAGAGTTATGTCATGATATTTGAAATGTTACGACTATCCTAAAAATTAGGAGTGGTCTTGCAACATGAGCGTTAAAACTCTCCCATATGAACTCTCCAGTAAACACCGGCAATAACTCCGCTTAGCTGTTCCCACTTGTCGTGCATCATTGCGAAAAGTGGAATATCTGTAACTCAATCCATTGCAACATCGGTTGTAAAGCAGGGGGTGTTAGGCGAGACAATCTTGCATTATTGAAGCAAAACTTGCCTCGTGTAACATGGCGGCTGTGACGTCATGTGCAAACGCTCTATTGACCTTGAATTCGTAGTTTTTATTCATGACTCAATACTTATAGTGAAGTCATCACAAAACCAAGGACGTGTGATTTTGCTACTGTACTGATATACAGCCAATTCAAAAAAGGTTGTCACTTTGCAAACTTTAAACTCTAAAGCTCAATGGGAAGACTAGTTTCAAGCTCAGTAGTTGAACTGATTGCAGCTAATTGTGAATGAGAACTGTTCTCGTATGGAGATTAGTTTAACATGTCTCTAAGAAATGCATGGGGCCCATATATGATTTCTAAACTGATTAAATGATGTTCCCATACGCTTTGCACGCTTAGAGTTTAAGGTTTATAGTTTAAGGTTTGTAAAGGACAAAAGTGTTCAAAACCTAAAATCCTTTTGGCGTTCCTCTCAAATTAAAATGACTTTGTTTTAGCTTTATTTTGTAGTTTACACAGTTTCATGAAATGTATCTGGCGGTTGAGAAACACAAAATAATATAGTTAACTCCTGTAGCAAATATTTGCAAGCACAAAAAGAGTTTTTTCATTAATAAAAGGGGATCCGCATTTATCTAATAATATTATAAGAACTAGTATTGAAAATAGTATATATTGGCTAATTGGCTAAGTAAACTTCGTAATTACTAATTAGAACTATTCCATTAATTTTATGCTTGTATTAACAGAGGCCGCCGAACGGCTCCCCCCCCCCCCCACACACACACACACACTTTATTTGCAAGGGGAAAATGTCCCCTTTTTGTGGAAAGCTTTCCAGCAATTAAAGAGGAATTATAAATGCCCCCTAGTAAGAAATGCCCTGTTTTATTATTATGCATGTAAACAAACTTAATTAAAAGGGTCTGAATAGGGTTAACTGACTAATGACATTTGCCTGAATTTTTGACTGACAACTGATAAAATATCTTAACTGACAACTGAGAAATGATGGAAAAAATGCTGAGTCAGCATTTTGCGGTAACTGACTACTGACAGCTTGCAATACAGTATATCGCACAGACAACTGACAACTGGCTTAAATTTTAGCTGACAACTGACACCCAAAGACCCCCATAAGACCCTCAATTAAGACAAACCTGATTGCTAAAGACAATTTGTTATAGATTTTTTGGTAAATTTGTGATTAATGTGTTCATGTTCAGTTTAGGACGCAGAGCTGTTAGAGAATATGTATAACATCCGAGGTTGTATAATGCATATATCCAAACAGAGATAGACCTTCTAAGAACACATCTAACATATTTAGAATGTTTGCTGACTCAAGTGCCCTCCTACTTTCGAGGTGCTTCCGCAGCCTCTGCTTGTATATGCTTCTAAAACGTCCTGCATCTTGCCATAAGTTTGTGTTCAACTGCTCATAACCTACTTCTGTCGCTAGGATAAAAGATTCATGATAAGAATTCTATGACTATATGGATGTTATAATATTATGTTTTGTATTCGTAGCCATCTAAATATCGTTTTATCTGTTGCGGACTTCTTTCCATCCAATTTATATTTGCCACAATGCGTTCAATTGATATATCTACCGCCTTTGTACCTGAACCCTTGTCTCTGCCGTGAAAGAAATCTTTCACCTATTAAATGAAGATCATTTATACAAACCACGAGTTAATTTAAGATAGTTTCAGAGGGAATTGCACGCGCGTACGGTGGTAAGTCGCATTGAGCTGGGGCCCAAGGCATATACGTAA